GTTCAGTCATGTGTGAAACATTCTTGAAAGATTTTTTTTTTTTTTTTTTTTGGACAATGGGAGAGGTTCTTCTCTCTTGGCAACATCTTTTAAAGGTTTTGTGTCTTTTGCCATGCTCATGCAAAATCTTGACTTTAATGAAAATAATTTCTAGGGAAATCTCAGTAACAGCCAGAAATGTTTTTGTGAAAAATAGAATTGGGAGCCAAATAAGTAACATGTGGTATAGAAAATTATAAAAAAGAATAAAAGATGCAGTGATCTGCAGATGTTTGAAAGAGAAGACTGGAGATTTCAAACTGGCAGGTGTTAAGAGGCAGATGTATATGTTTGGTGGATATCTATTAGAAACCATTGGTAGGATTATCACTTTACACATCCAGAAAATAGAATGGCTTGATGATGTCCAGAGTCAAAAATGTAAGTTATGGGCCTGCAATGAAAATGGTCTTATAAGAATGACATAATCTTTCATGTAATGACAAATGGCATTTTCAAGTTAAGAAGACTGTGCTAAGCTGGATGGATGCCCAGAAAAGTGGAAGCTGAACTGGTCTGACCAAGGTATTGGCTGAGAGATGAAAGACACAGTTGTAACAATAAAATGAAGGTCACAGAATCACAGAATTGTTGAGGTTAGAAGGGACCTCTGGAGGTTGTCTTGTTGAACCCTCCTGCTCAAGCAGGACCACCTAGAGCCAATTGCCCAGGATCATGTCTAGATGTTTTTTTCACTCTAAGGAGGAAAACTCAACAACCTCCCTGGGCAACCTATTCCAGTGCTCAGTCACTTTCACAGTAAAAAAGTGTTTCCTCATTTTCAGAGAGAACCTCCTGTGTTTCAGCTTGTGCCCACTGTCTTGTGTCCTGTCACTGGACACCAATGAAAACAGCCTGGCTCCATCATCTTTTCACCTTCCCTCCAGGTAATTATATATATGAATAAGATCCCCCCTCAGCCTTGTCTTCTCTAGGCTGAACAGTGCCAGCTGTTTCAGCCTTTTCTCACAGAAGACGTGATCCAGTCCCGTCACCATCCTTGCAGCTGCTCATTGAACTCTCTCCAGTATGTCCACGTCCCTCTTGTACTGGGGAGCCCAGAACTGGACATAGTACTCCAAGTGTGGCCTCACCAGCTCTGAGCAGAGGGGAAGGATCATCTCCTTGGACCTGCTGGTAGTGCTTTGCCTAATGCATCCCAAGATAACATTGGCCTTCTTTGCAACAAGGGCTCACTCTGGACTGATGTTCAATTTGTTGTCCACCAGGACTCCAAGTCCATTTCTTCCATGCTGCTTTTCAGCTGGGCAACCTCCAGCATATATCAATTAATGAGATTGTTCCTTCCCAGGTGCAGGGCTTTGGAATTCTTATTCAACTTCATGACGTTCTTATCAGCCCATTTTTCCAACCTGTTGAGGTCCCTCTGGATGGCAGCACAACCCTTCGGCATATGAGCCACTCCTCTCAGTTTGGTGTTATCTGTAACCTTCCTGAGGGGACACTGCCCCATCATTCAGATCATTAACGAAGATATTAAACAGGACCAGACCCAGTATTGATTTCTTAAGTCTTAAATTAGGTTTGGGATTTTTCACCATTAGAAACCATTCATAAACTCTGAAAAATAGACCTTATATAGATACTGGCCTTCTAGATCTGAATTTTGCATGATAACTAGGGAAAAAATGTAAATTTCCATGGAAAAGAAGGGAAGAATATTTGGAGAGAGTCATATTATCTTCCTTTCCATGTTTACCAGGAAAATCTGGTAAGTAAAGGCATAGCAAAACATTAAGGTCATGAGAAGAAATAACTGATTATTAAAGCAGTGATCAGGTAATCAGTACAGAAAGTGAAAGGATTCAGCTATTCTGACTAGGGGGATGCCTGACTTAGAAATAAAAAGAAAAAAAATTCTGAGAGAGATACTTATTTTACACAGGGGACCTAAGCAGACAAGTGGAAGAACATGACTAGCCTGAAATATAACAACATTGATAATGAAAACATGAAGGGATAACAAGTATTAAAGGTATGCACTTGGCAGAAAAGATCAAAACAGAGATAGGTGTGTTATGTAGTAGATGTGAGAGACTTTTGCATCAGTGTTGTTTGTTCTTTCTTCATCACCTGTTTGGATTAATTAATCTTGACGATGGATAGGAAAACAAACTTCAGCCCCAATAATATTTGAAAATAATATTGAAATCTATATTAAAACAATATGACTCAGATATAAGGACACGAGTATTTTATTTTCTATATATAGATGGCTTCTTGGCTAGATCTTTAATTTCTACTACTGACAGTCCAGGTCTCATTAATACTGTCAGCTGAGTACAAAGATTTGTATCTAGATTTATCTGAATAGGCATCTTCAGTGAAATAGTTGTGTAAACAAAGAGACTTGAGTATGTTTCAATGCAGAATAACCCACCACTGCTCTGGGAGGACGTGTCTCCTGTAAAACATGTCATATCTGCCATACATGAATGTCTCTAGGGCATCTCAGATGGCAACTGAGTTGAGCCCTTTGGCTGCTCAGCTGAATGAATTGCTGCACATTACTGATTGTATTGACTACGACTCTTAGTAGGAGCTTAGTTCACATATGGACACTCAAATGTAGATATCCTCACCTCAGACTGAATGCCATCCATACAGTCAAATATAGATATACATGTAAAATTTGGATGGATGAATTTGGATATAATATTATATAACTTCCAGAAATTGTATCATATCTGATACTTGTAAATAAAGACTAAAAACCAAGTGCTAGTAATAATGATGGGGCACAGATCACAGTGGATGTGATAGTTAACACATTTTATCAGAAAATATTGGATAAAATGGAGAGGATACTGATTTAGATTTTGAAAATCTAGAACATTTCAGAAAAGTCAGTCAAAAAACCTGTCAGATCAAGTGATCATGAATTAATTCCTTTTAAATTAAACATGTATATTTTTCAGTAAAGGCAGAAATAAAAAAATACAAGACAAAGGAAGAAATAGCTAATGTCAGCAAGTGCCTGGAAGAGGAAATGACAGGAACAAAATCCTAAGGGAAACTCTGGAGCAGGATATGCTTAAACTGAACAATACGGGTAATCTGTACTTTAGGATTCTGAAAGAACTGGCTTGTGACATCACTGATCTGATATCAGGTGGTTTTAATAATGCTGTGGATGATGGCATTATATGCATTGGAGAAAAGCAACATTTTTTTTAGTTTTAAAATATATAGAGAGAGGAATAATTATTGAGAATCCAGACTGAAATATGAGTTTATTAAAAGTGGCTCATGGTGGGCAAACCCATTGACATTCTGTGATGAGACAATACATTTGTTGTCACAATAAATATAGTAATCTTGCTCACTGTGACCTATGATAAAGATACCATGTCACATGGGAAGCAACTGATTAATTTTGAAAAAAAAAATAGCAGATTTGTTAAAGGAGTAGAACGGACAAATGGAACATGATAGCGGTGATTGGTGAAGGAGGCTGCTGAGAGAGTACAACTGGAGTTCTTCCAGGACTAGGTTTAGGACTAATCTTAACATTTAATACATGACCTTGATACATAAAGTAGAAATAAATTATATTTTTTTCTGACACAAATTATGTAATATAGTAGGGATTTGGATGTTGTTTAGAAAAAGAATTACACTGAAGACTAAATTACTAAAAATGGGATTAAAATTTAATAGTGTAGACCAAAGGATTTAGGAAACAGTAAACAACTTCTGTTATGAATTGAGAGCTGATCATCTGGACATAGATGCAGAGGAGAATCTGAGTATTCTAGCTGATCCCTTGTTGACTGTGAGTCATCACTGTGCACCTGTAAAAAAGGAAAACACAATCTTAAAATTTCTCTATACAGACTAAGAAGTATTCCTGACATTGTTCAAGGCAGTGAGATGGCTTCTGGAGTAGCGCATACTCTGGTACAGTTCTGTTCTCCAACCATAAGAAGGTTGAGCTCCAGGCTGGTGTACAAAGGGATTACTATGATGGTTAGATGAAAGAACAGCCTGCTGTGTAAGAGAACATTTTTAAAAGCTCACCTCATTTATCCTAGTAAAATGAATGTTGGATAAAGATGTTCCTGTCTTCTGTCTATACATGCTGGGGGCAAACACCAGGGAGGAAGAACAGTTATCTTAAAAATAATCTGAATACAAGAACCAACAGGTATAAACTGACCTTGAATAATCTGAGGCAAGGAATTAAAAAAGCGCCATCTACTATTAGAGCCTCCCGATAAGAATGGGATGAAGTGAATCCATTTATGAAAGGGATTACAAGAAGCAGTTTCCTGTGTTAGAAGTGGAGGAGAACCTGCTTGGGTGTGCATTCTGCTTCCAGTACACAGCAAACAAAGAACTGGCCAGAGCCACTAATGAAAAATGGACTCTACCACTGTTGCTCTAGCTCATCCCAATTGTAGACACGATAAATGGCTACATACCTAAGACAGTGTCACCACAAATTACTGCTTTCTAGCCAAGTTGTTATGGGTTACCTTTGACATCCCATGTGCCATTTCAGCCAGTCCAGCAGCTCTCTTGGCAAGTGGTTTGAAAATGGATGTGCAGTTGAGATCTGAAATCTTCCTCCTGCTAAAAAGGAGCCATCAGAGTGAACTTTGGTTAGAAGTAAGGAGAAATTCTGGCTGGACGCCACAGGGTGGATTTGCTAACCTTTCAACTAACAGCTGTGTGGAAAACCGTATCTGTATCATTTTAACACAGTGAAAATGTGTAGTGCATAACTGATAATTGTAGCATATAGTTAATCACTTTTCTCTCTGCAGTGTGCCAGCCAGAATCATGTAAACCAAAAGTACACAAGAAGCAAATAGAATGACAAACATCGTAATGCCCGAAGAATAAGGACTATGGTGATGATATGCAGAATGGAAATGCAGATGATGCAGAATGGAAATATTTTTAAAACATTTTTTTTTTATTTACTATAACCACAGGGTTCCTTAAAGGAGGTTCTTAAACAACTAGAAGAAGAGAAGAAAAGTCTCCAGAATCAGTTAAAAGACTATGAACTTAGACTGGAACAAGAAGCAAAGGTTTGTAATCACTCTATGCCTCTAATCTGTAAAAGCCATTATGTTGTCTGACAAACAGATGTGTGCGCTACACACAACAAAATAGTTCCACAAAATATGTCAATGGAAAAAAGCTCTGCTGTGTATTTGTTTCTTCCTGTATGACTCAACTTTTAAAAGATTTTGCTTAATGGTAGCCTATATCCCTTATTTTAACTGTAGGCTTATCACAAAGCTACTGATGAGCGGCGCATGTACCTCTCAGAGATCTTACAGGTAAGAAAAATGTGCAATTCAGTAACTTTTAAAATTCATTATCCTTTCTTAATATACCAACAGCATCTGTTAATGCCATTAGGTCAAAGTCTTTTATCAGTTCATCTACCAAATACATTACAAAAGCTGCTTTTTAAAAATTTTAAGAGCTAGATATTGAAAGATTATTACAGTTTACTTACTTTAAAATACTTTTTTTGCTTTTGTATCAACTGGAGTTTCATTGTTCCTAAGGATAGTCAAAGTGCCCTTAGCTGAGAAAGCTGATTTTCTGATACTTGCTTGTCCATCCATTAGTCACAAGACTGCTATGCTAGTTTAAATGTCTCAGTTGAAAAGAACAGAACCAAATTATTAGCAGTGGTGAAACCCACCTTAGGAGCAATTCCTCTTTTTCATATTTCTCCTTTTTTTAATTTTAATGACAAACTAGCCAGCCAGCTCAGAATGACAATACAGCACAAACTTCAATTAAATTTATAAGGGATAGGATACCTTGTTTTTGTGAAATCAGAGGTTAAATTTTATTCCTGCAAACTATATAAGACATAAAATTTGATACTACAAACTGCAGGAACCTGTAAAGATTTCTAGTATTTATTTATTCTGTAAGAGCTCTTAATTCCTGAATAATGTAAAAGTAATAGCTTAGTGTGATACACAAGAATGGCTGTCACTGAATCCCTGTCACAGCTAACTGGGGCAAAAGGCTGTAATTAGCAGTGTTTCCATGTGTTTGCACAGTGGGCAGCTGATTCTTTTATGTGGTTCATTGCTGATTTGAGAAATCTGAAAGAATTGCTTAAACTAACTTTCCAGCATGAAACCAAGAAAAAGCCCAGGAAATGCCCATAACTGTTAATATCTTTATGTTAACAGTGAAACTGGGAACTGATGGAGGAAGAAGGTACAGAATAAAAGATGATTTTATTACTGAACATGCTAGCAAGAGGCATGCCTATGTTCAGATGCCTAGAATATCACTTAAACATGCTTAAAACATCATTTGATGTGAGGTATATGCACTGGTATGTTGCTTAAATGGGGCATTAGGGACTAGGATTTTGCCACCAACACTCAAGGTAGTTAGTGCATTGTATTTTCATTAATCAGTTATTTGCCCCCATGATCTCATAATCATATGAGAACAAAATAATCATCTTTAGATTAATCTCCTAATTTTTAGTTCTTTGAATGTTAAACAGCCAATCTAAAGTAGCTGCAGAGGGATCCTCTGTGGAGATCTATGGAGAGTGAAGCATGTTAAAGGTGCAAGCCATCTCACCTGTTTTAGATGAAGATGAAATTAATTTCCAGGGACTTATCTGTCCCTCTTCCTGAGCTATAAGCAGACCCTAGGTGAGTAGTTTAGATTAGACATCTACCTTTTATGTTGCTAGTCTGAACATGGCAGTCAACCTAATCATGGTTGACTGTTAGTTGCAAAAGAATCTGGCTCATCTGGTCCCTTCAGGTCCTGTTCTATTATGACTTTGATTTGATTGTTGCTTTTATATTATTTTAAAATCTGCATATGTATGCCCTCCCTTTTAACAGTTCATTTTTTAACAATAGTGACAGAAAGAAACTTATATTCAGTGCAGACTTTTTCAGCTATATTAAAATGCCACTATTCTAGAGTCTGCACAGTAATGTTGGCAGCAGTTGAGTTAGAAAGATTTACCCATAGGCTAACATTTTCCATACATCCCAAAGTAAATATACTACAGGATATTGTTATCCTGTGACAATATATTCCAGTGACACTCTTAGCTGCAGAATATCTTTTTAGGCCTTTTTTTCCTTGTTATGTTTGTGTTTTTCTGTAGCTCCCAGAAAAAAAAATAAATCATGGAATGGAAATTTTTACTGGTAGGTGTTAAAATATTCCAGATGCTTTGGGTTTTTTTCTGTTTTGGATCCCTCCTGAAGCCTGCAGCAGAAGCAGAGGAGAGATGCTCCTGAGCAGCTATTTCTTTTATTTATATTTTTTATTATCAAGTGCTTGTCTGCTTTTTTACAAAATATAAGTATCTTCTGAGTGCTTTTGTTGTTTGTCTTGTCTGGATCCGTAATATAGTCAATTTTAAATGATAGTTTTAAAATAAAGATTTTCCAAACTTGAGAACTCCTGCTAGAGGCACTGATGGTTTATGGTGTATTCTGGTTTGCTTTTTTGTTTTGTTTTCAGTTTGAAAAAATGTTGGTTTGGGATGTGGACTCCACAAATCTCAAAGCACTTTCTGGTGGTATTCAGAAATCTGTCTGAGAAGCAGGCAAAGAAGAATGATAGCAGATCTTTAAAAGGGCCATTCTTCCAGGCTAGATTTTTACCAGAGACTTTTACTAGTGTAGTAGAGTCTAACTTGTGACTGGGATTTCTTTGCAGAAAAACCCTACAGTTATCGATAGGTACAGCTGGAAAGCTGCTTGTGCAACAGCAGCTCATTTTAGTTGGAATAGGCCTGGAGTAAACTGTACCAGCAAAAACAGTGCTATGGATAATAATCATATATATTGGCACTCTGTATTCATATAAATTGAAAAAATAGTGAAGGCAATTGTAGCATAGGTCTTGCTTGGGTCACAGATTCACATGTGCTCAGAAAGATGATAAATTATACTAGCCATCATCTTTTGTACTGGAGTTCCTTGAGTGCAAACAATGTCTTGCCTTCAAGAAAGTAAATCTGTGCAGATCTTATTCCATTTTTACACTTGCACTCTGAAAAGACTCTGCTTTAGTTATAGCTGACTTTGCTATGGCTGGGCCAGGAATACGTGCCTAGTGCATTGTATGTGTGGAAGCACAGTAGAAACCATTGTCTTACAAGCAGTGAGACGGTCTTCAGTGTCAGATTTTTTTCTCACAAATGCAAGATGTTTCCACACATGCTATAAAATGTAATGTTGTGTTGTAATGTAATGTAATATAATAATCCAAACCTTGTCCCAAAGTCTAGCTCTAGACTTTCACAAAATCTTCACTGGTCTGGTGTAGCCAATACTTCGTATATCAAGATTATCGTACATTTATTACATGTTCCTGATGGATCTGTTTAAAGGGGCTGAGAAAATTCCATTCACTTACACTAGACACCCAAGTGTGCACAGCAACCAGACAAGCCCTGAAGCTTCTCCGTTTTCTGTTTTTCTGTCCCTTTGAGAGGTAGCTGTAATAAAGGCAGCTGGGTGAGCCAGCAAGGGCTGGGTGAGAAGGAAGCCCTGTCAGCTAAGGAATAGGAGAACCAACAGATTTAATCCTGCTCAGATTCTGTTAAATGCAATAATACCAAGGGTAACAACTGGGATTTCTTCAGTATGTCCAGTAATACCGGTTTCCAGAGCATGCAGAGATTTCCATGCTGTGTTAATTTTTTAGAAGTAGTTCCTGTTCTTAATGGTTTAATCATTCAAAAGTACAAATAAGTGACTATAATTTGTTTTATTTCTCATTCAGGAAGTGTGTTAGAAATACAATGCTTTTTCATTGAAAATACGGAGTTATAGGCAATATGACCAAAAATATGGTGATTGAAATGACATATTCTCTGATCGTCCAGCTTAATAATAATGGTATTTTTGCACAGCAAGGGATTTTGGCATATGCTCAATTCCCCAAAGCAGCAAGGTATCAGTATAATATGTGCTTAAAGTACTTCATCTCAGTAAGACCATTTGGGTCAAAATTAGTTTGGAAATATTTTACTCCCTCAACTGTGATTGTGGCTAGGATTTAACTTGTTTTGTAAAAATTTGGCTATTGCAGATCTCAGCTACACTTAAAATTATTGAAAGTCAGAAATCAGATGCTCTGACATGCAAGGGAGAAAACCACATACTGAGGTAAATTTCCTTTATATTCTTTCTGTTTTCTGGTTTATTAGTTTTTACTAAGTACTATGTTTTGAATATTGCATCTTTCTCTTCATGGTAAATATCACTGAGAATAACCTTATTAACAAAGTATTAATCTTAACATCATTTTCATACTGCTTTTCAAGCAGTTTTATTTAATATTAAGTATGTTGTAATGTTGAAAATACACGTATTTAAGGGGTCTTTCTGAAATCTTACAATACCTCTGATGTTCTTCCCTTTCAACATGTGTTTAGAATGGATCATTTTTTTCATTATTACTGCAGAGTTGGGTGCAACAAGTATACCCTTTAGTCCATTAAAGGTAATTCAATTAAAATAAAAGCCTTGCTTGGTCCTTTTTAGCAAATAGAGATTGTAAAGCTTTTTGTGGGTGATAATGTGAATGATTTTAGATGACAACCTATAAAGGCTGCATTGTTTAACAGATTTCTATTTATATGGGTTAGAAATCTGAATTTGAAAAGAGCCCACCTGCTCAGAGCCATATAGAAATAAAATGAATTTTTGATTGTGGTGCTTTTGAGAAAGCTTGAAATTGGAGATTTACTTTTTAACTGAATGGAATATGTTAAGTCTATTCTTCAAAGTATGAAGAATATAGGCAATCACATCAAAAGTGTGTTGGACCCGGTGTCCTGCTTCCAGTGGTTCTAAGTAGATGCCTACAAAAGTGTGTAAGCAGGCAGATAGAATATTTGCTTTTGGAACTCTCCCAAATAGTTTATATTTGGAGACTTCCTGAGCTTTCTATGTATTTAGTATCTCAGTGAATACTCTTCCATGGACCCACTTACCTATATTATTAAAATAAGCATACACAGTACATATTGGGAACATTTGAAAATGTAATGAATAAATTATAAGCATGAAATAGTGTAGATATATTTGCTTAACAGCTTTATCCTTTCACTTTGTGTAAGCACAGAATCACAGGATTTCATAAATTAAAACACCGGCTCTTCATGCTCCAGGAGAGGATGTTACTAGAATATGAATTAATATAGTACAATATGAATTAAAGTCTATAACTGAAATTTCTCAACACAGAAAAAGCACTGTATGGGTCTGAGGTGCTCCATATGTAGCAAGTGTGTTTGCTTCTGGCCCCAGTGATGTTTAAGATAGTTCATGTGGAGAAGGTCAGGAAGCTAGAACTAGGAGAATTCACTGTCTCTCCTGGGAGATTAAGTATCATCAGCCAGATATTGAGATTTTCTGAGGGTTAGCATTGATCTGTGATTATGTTGGAGTTTTTTTGTAATTTATTTAGTGGTCCCTTACTTACCCTGACATTATACGACAGTTTCTGTAATATTCTTTATATCAAACAAAAGAAAATAAACTGTCCTGTAATTGCTGGTGTCAGAAGAGTTATACTGTAACAACACATCTCCTTTCAACACCTTTCTCCTTGGAGAATTTTTTTTTTGACTTTCCAAAGTGCTTTATGCACATGAAGGGAATTGTTCATCTTTTAAATTGTCCTCAGTAGCTAAGGATCCAGTTTGAAAAGCATTGGCTTTTATAGCCAGTGATTTAGAACTTTCAGGTCAAACTTTGGTCTTAGTTGGCAACATGGAGATAAGAATGGGGATTTGGCATAGTTTGTATTTTAAAGAAATACTAGAATCTAAGTAAGCACTCCTTGGTCATCACAAGGTTAACACAGCCATTGTTATATTATTCCTTTTTAATTATGTTTGAAGGTTGTTCATTCAAGCTGACATTAATGAGAAATAATTTCATTCAAGTAAGAGAAGACCTGCATGACTGAAAATAAATTATTCTTGAGAATAATTTGAAAATTTTCTGTCTAGAGTTCTTATCTCACTTCTGCTGGCCTTTCAGAAAACACCTGCCTTCACTGGATTTCAAACCATACTAAGAAACTCTGTTTAATGTTTGTTTTAACTATAGGTACAGGTATGGAAAACCTAACCTGTATATTAAAGCAACAGTGAAACATTTTTGAGTAGTAATTGTGAACACTAATTGTTGATGTTTTAAGTTTCCTGGCCATGCAAACATAGAAGACAAGTTCAGTAAAGGTCCTTTTTATGGTATTTTACAGGTCAAGAATAAGATAGGCTAGCTGACAATTAGGAAAAACATGGATGCCTTGATGACTCATGTCTCTCATGCAATCTGAACGCCAGTGTAATATCATTCTGAGCTCTTACTGTTAGTCTGAGGCATATAGCAGGGCTTATTAGCTCAGCTTCAACACTGCACTAGCTGCTAAGCCCATAAATCCATCAGGTTTTGAGTGGAAGGAGGTTTTGCTGCCTGCAGAATTCTATACAGAGATACACTGTCTGCTTGGTACAGCTCTACAGTGATCTACAGATTAATCAATTGATTTTGAGTAATCAATTGATTTGAATTTGAATAATCAATTGATTATTGAGCAAACTGGGTCCTTGGGTTCTGATTTTCCAAGCTCTGAGTAGAAGTAGCTCTTTATCTCTATGGGGGCAGGTCCTCCTTCAAGACCATGACTGCTTGTAAGAGCTGGAACAAAGGATGTGTCAGTCCTAGAAGACTAGCTAGCCATAGGGACAACTTTGTTGGCTGTTTGCCTGCCCAGAAATTTGAAACTTACATAGATCGTGTCATCATAGCTTCTACTCCATAACAAAATATTTCTTTGGCTATCATCATGAATATAATTGTGTGATGTTATGATATATTTTCCTTCACTGTGCCTATTACTTGAGAATGACATTGAAACCCTGTATATTGTCGTTAGAGTACGTGAAGTGCTGTTCTGTCCACTGTAGTAATGAACAGGGAGAGGAACAAATGTTGCATAAGAGTAGAGGTGCATGCTGCTTGATCACGAGTGACCTTTCCAGTTTGTGGAATCACTGTTCCCTGCCTGGAGATTTGTTTACATTCCTACTGATTTACAAGATCAAGATGAAAACAGCTCTAGCAGGTTTCATGTAGATGGTGTATGTATCCATGATGAGTACCACTTCAGAAGTCTGCTGACAGAATTTCCTCTGTAAGATCATGGGCTTGAGTTTGGTCTCCAGAGTGGAATACCTGCGAAGAACTGTAACTACATGAAGTGCTTTTTCCATTTCCTCATGGGGACATAAAAATGTCTCCTTAGCCAGTTATCATTCTCTTTGTGCAAATGTTTAGTATTCTGTTCATGTTCTTCAAATGCCATCATTTAGGTAACAGGAAGTTGGAATTGAGATGAGGCTTGAGTTTGTATGCAGAATAATTAGATGCTCTGCTAGCCTGCAAAGCCAGAAATATACTTGTTTTTCCCCTCTCAGGTTTATTAATTCACAATAGTAATCAGTTATGCAAATATAAAAAGTATGCAAATTTCTAGCCGTTGAAGCTTACAGGGAATGTGACAACTGATGACTAACTTCACCTGTTTTATTTCAGAGGGAGATACAGTGTTCCAGGAAACCCGAAGATGGTTAATCCTCAAAAAGGATCAATTAAAAACACTGTAGGAGTGAAGCAGCTTCCAAAACTAAAGCACTGATTTAATATTAATGCCAAGAATTTCCAATCACTTTTAAAAGAATTTAATTTAACTGAAAGTTTCTAAATTGAAAATTAATGTATTTGTGCTTTATTATAATACCAAACCCAGGCTGTCGTGTATTTTTGGCAGCCCTAATGTAAGTGTTCCTCTGCCTAGCAGAATTGTTCTTCTAGCTGCCATCTTTGTGCTGGTGATCTCTGACCATTTCCATTATGGTTCTCATGAGTGATTCTGGGCGTCAGGGAGTTGGAAGCCTTAGAGAACATTTAGTGTCTTTATACACTAGGTAGATCCTTGAACTTTGACTGCACAGCAACCACTGAAAACAAACAAGCCTGTAACGTTTTTTGACCTCTCTGCCAAGAAGAAGAAAAAACCAAACTGATGTAACCTGAAGTGTTATTTCACCACCCAAACCAGTAAATCTCAAATAAAATTCCATCCAAAAACATCCCCATTCAGTACAGGCAGCAAAGAGAGACCCTGAAGTAGTCTGATGTTGGTACAGCTGATCATGCCTTTCATTTGGCTTTAAAAAAGAATGACAGCATAGTTTACTAGTCAGTCTGATTTCTTACATGATACCATACAGTAGAGTTCCTTTACAGTATGAAGTTGGTTTATATTCCATGATCTTTCTTACTATAGCAGAGAAGACAAAACACCTCCAAATTTAACTTTTTTAAAAGCTGGCTTGCCACAGATACTGTGTTGACCATCACTTTCTGTCTGCATGGTTTAGAAGCATAACACTATTTCCAGATACTTTAAGCACTAGTAATGAGCAGAAACGAAAGAAAAATTGAACACTTTTTATTAAGGATTCTTCAGAGCCTATCTTGTGGAGGGTTGTTTCTTTTAAACACTATATACACACCATGTTTCCTTGTATTAGTATGTTACTATTTGAAATCTCAACTCTCAGTCTGTGTTCCATAAAATTCTGTGTGTATTCTCCCAGTGGCACTGATCCATGTATTTTTAGGATCCAAAATAGTGCCAGTCTTTAAAGTCATCTCTTCAATGAAAGTAGAACTACTTTGTATTTTCATTCTTAAGTGTGCAATTATTGTTGCAGTTTCATTACCTACATTTTAGTCATTAAACTTCAGCAGAATTTTTTAAAGTAGCAACAGGAAAAATGTTTTGGTAATGAAGCTTCAAGCTTCTAGATTATGTCTTAAAAGCTCTTGGCAGAGCAAATGTGATGGATTGACTACCCTTTATTATTTTTAAGAGCATACCTAACTCTTTGCAGTATCTAATAAAGCTTTTTTCTTCTTTAAGAGCAATACTAAGAGTTCCTCATTACTAGCAGCATTAAAGTGAGGCTGTAATTAAAGACATACAGAAAGATCAATTATGTCATTCTAAAATGCAGAGAAAGCAGACCTACAGTATTGTACAGCATATTCAGTGTGGAAGCCCCATTTTTTTTTCTCTTACATAGCATTTATTACAGATTTATTACAGATATTTCTAATGTCACCATGATGTACCTTGTATCATTCTTTCATAAGCAGGGTGCTCTGCCTGGCAATTTTTTTCCTCACAGTTACAGTTGAGAGCATAGCACAGCTGATTAGGTTAGCACTCTTCTGTTCCTGTTTTTCACATGGAAAATTTCCAGACTTTGATTGTGCTGGCATTTGTCATTGTGGAGAAGGAGAGAGAAAAAAAATCACCATAATAGTCCTGTTGGCATAAGAGACAAGAGACATCTGCAGGAGTGAAGAATATCCAGTTCTTGGATCCATGCAGCAGACATTTACTACTGCTGCCTCTGAATCAAATGTTGGTTAATGCACTCAAGTCCAGTCCCTGTAGCACCTTAAAATTACAAGAAACATTGCACAAATGTGGCAGAACAGCATTTATTCACAGCAGGAGATGTGGACACCTTCCTTATGGGTAGTCCTGAGGACTAAAAAGAGGCATTTTTTTCTGAAGGCTAAGAAGATACATTTATTGGTACAGTTTGGTACAGTAAGGACCTGAGGAGAGGCTATGTCCTATTTAGTCCCTGTGTCAGCTTGCCAGGAACAAGTTCAGGATTTGAAACTCAGTAGTATGATAATTAATCTCTAAAACACGTGTTGTTCTAATTGTGTGTCCAGCTGTAATGTTTTCTGTGCAAAATGGCTATAGTTCTGTACTCTTTAAATTACTTGGCAGTTCATTTTTGTCCTGGCTTTCTCAAAATAAGGACACCCTAATGGTTAAGTTTGATGACTCAAGTTTCTTTGCAACAGCAGAAAGATAGCTTTTAGTTTCAAAAGTGTGTTATTTCTTTGGATCCAAATAAAACTTTTACACTGCTAGCTTTCCTGAACCACATTTGGTGCTTTTGGATGGATGGGTGTTTTGAAACACCTGGATTTATCTTGCATGGATGTTTCTCACTACTATTATTCTGTGCTGTGAAATGGGGTTTGTTTACGTTTGCAGCAATGAACAGCTACATGTCTTTGCAAAATATCTTCTATACTAGTATTTCAGCACATTTAGGAGTAATTAATCCCTCAAAGCACAGTATGTAGTATCATTTTAGGCGTAGAAGACTGAATCACAGAACTAGGTTTATTTAAATTAGAAAGTGTAGTGTTGTCTGGTTTTTCCTTGATTTCATGGCAGGGAGATCTTTTGTAATGTTAACCATTAGAAGGTAAATTCTGTCTCCTCTAAAGTTTCTGTGCATCATATTCTAAACAGTGAACAAATCCAAAGACAAAAATGGGAAACTGAATTGCTGACAGTTGTGGTCAGTGAGTGAATTGACCTAAGCATCAGAGGAAGACAGAATTAGAGGTGAAGGTCTGAATCTGACCAAACTTCTTCCTGCAGCACAGAATATAACTGGGATTCCAGATGTACTGGTTGTAGTGTAAGTGCCTTTAATTGATGGACTAAGAAATTTGATATCCTAACTCTTGGGACTTGAGAGTATGCTTCCCTTACATGGTTACTCATCTAACTCCACTGATTTCAGATGAGTCATAGTTTTGAGGTAACTATAGCATTTTAAGTATTTACCCGTATTGTTTCTGGGAAATATGAATTAAGAAACTCACATGCTGGTAAGCAAACATTTTTTTTTTTTTTTTTTAAGTCTCATGGTTTGTAAGGGTATTGAGTTGTAATTTTTCTTTTTAATAAATCCGTGTAGCACCACTGTATTCCCCTATGACAGAATAATATTAAAATGTTTACCTGATAGGCATTGACTCTGTGGTTGATTATTATGTAATTGTGCAGCATAACCACAGAGATCTTGGATGATGAGCTTCCTCATATTCAGGATATTATTAACGTTAAGCAAAATATTTCATTGCTTAAATACTTTGTTTAATGGGTTCTCCATATAAATAACTGACTAGGTGGTACAGTTCACAGCTTCCCCAATTCCTATGATATTTATTCTCCACTGGTAAAGATGAGACGCATAATTTAGTTTAATACATTTCCAGTAGTGAAAGTTGCTGCACAGACATTTTTAGAAATGTGATGCAGACACAGTAGCAAGCAAAAAAAATAAATACATGAATAAACAAACTACTATGTTATTAAGTTGCTGCTGTTGCTGCTGGACAGGTGTCAAACATAGACAGTAGTTTGAACTAACTCTGGTTGGAAGCAGAAGTAAAGTGCGTGGTTGAAAATCACAGCTAATGGCAACAGTTTTATCTCTTTACATACAGGTGTCAGCACTAATGGCAAACAGCTCTAGATCAGATAATAAGGCTTTTCAAAGCTGGCAGTATGTCATTTAACTTGGCAGATCGATTTATCCCTCTCTTCCAAAGACATAAACATTGTATGTAGTTCCTTGTAGGTCACAGCTACTAATCTGTGCGATAAACCGCTGACTAAGAACCATGAAGAGCCCAAATGTGTATTTCACATCTACAGGAGCAGCATGTGGATGGGACCAGGCTTTCCATCTGGCTCTGCGTGCAAACCGATGCACCACTCCACAGAAAGAGCTTGCCTTCCAGCAAGAACCATCAACAGCCGAGCTATTGGAACGGGTTTAAACTCTGAAGCCATTTTGGGCACTGCCTGTCACACAGTTGGCTTCCATCACAGTCCTGTCTTCCATGTGGCAAGCTCTGTGTAGCTGGCAGCATCCTCTTAAGACTGTCAAGACTCCAGAAGTTTTCTCATGAAGGAGAATCGAGGTGTGTTTTGTGTCCTCTGGTTGGCAGAACAGGTATCAGCTGGCTGGCTTAGCTGTGCCCTTGACATTATTTTATAGAGATTTCCCATGGTGCTTGTGACTCTCTTTACCAAGCTCTCAGACATCCTTTCCATGACCAGGGGTGTTGGCACGTCACCTGACAGCAATGGGAAGAGTGATGTATGCCTGGTGGTAGTAGCACGGTAACAGGTGTTGCACTCTGTACACCCACAGTATAGAGCTGAGGACTGAGAGTTTGTTCCACTTAGCCCACAACCAGTTTGAGCATCTCCAGTTCTCTAGAAAGGCCGATTATTTGAGGGGAACTACACCCAGCTGAAGTTCCTTTGCCATTATGACCAGGGACAAAAGAGGGCTGAGAACACGGTACTGACTTGTTGCAGATGCTTCAGTGCACCTAGCTAGGAGAGGCTCATCAGCTGCTTGTGCTCATGCCCAGGGGTATGTGGGCAGTTCCTAAATCAGAGCCGGGCTTCCAGGTGTAGGCAATGCAGTTTCTTCAAATTTTGCATCTAGGAGTGCTCCGTTGCTATGTTCTGGCCCATATTTGGGGATTGCCACCACTCCATCAGGTTTCCATATCAAAGATTTCCTTGGTGCTGTCCTGCCTGATGAAAGCAGCAGAGCTTCATTTCCAGGCTGGTAAAGTTCCAATGCTCTGGTTCCCATCTAACTTCCTCATCCCTCCCTTTGTTGCCTGGGAGATGAACTCTGCTTCAGGAACCCATCTGTAAAGTGGGGAGAATAGTATGTTTCTGGTGCTAAAAAAGTGATACGAAGATAAATACACCAGCGCTGGAAGGAGGCCAACTGTTAAAAACACAATTAGCCTAAGTAAGCCTGACCTAAATCAAATGGATTTTTTTTTTGTCTTACAATGAAAATGAATAACTTCAAGTGCTATGCTGGTGCAGAAACTTAACAGCTGTGGCTGCTGCATCTTACTGAAAAGAATTACCAGTAAAGATTCATGTCAGGGTATTTCCCAATGAACACAGTTCAGCAGTGTCACCAGTTGCTGTGCAAATCTTGTCAAAAGAAACAATGTCAGCCACGAAAAGAGAAGGACCCCTTGTGAGGCGTGGCCAAGGGCATGCCTTGGTCCCCCACCACTCTTTACAACAGACACTTCCTCCTGCAGCTGTCTAATCCCTCCTCACAACTAGCAAGTGTCCCACAGGGAATCTGCTAAGGAATGATGTGGTGTAATGGAGCAACGCAGGCTGGGGAGCAGAGAAATCATGCACAGCTGAAGGGTTATTTTGGGGGAAGGATGAAGCAACAAGGGTGCCCCTCCTTGACTTGTCCTGTGCTGATTAGGAAGAGGATACTGAGACATCATTTTAAAAAGAGCAGAAGAGGAAAAGGTAGAAATATAAGCATGGGAATCATCTGGCCCAGCTTGGGGCTAAAAATCATACATGTAAGTCTGAGCAAATCACTGTGTGCTCCATGTGCAGTCAATGGGAAAAACCAGACACCTTCAGAGAACAGTTCTTCTCATTCGAACAAAGGTACTTAAAATGGATCAGATGACACATCTACTGGATTTCTCTCCACTGATTAGAAAGAGAATATAGGATGACAAATTCAGAATAACCTGTCTAGCATGTAGCTAGGTACACTGAATCCTGTTCATGAAAATGTATTTTTCTTGCTCTGGTTAGGGAGAGTGACACACAAGATCAGTAGAGAGTCTGAGCCAAGAAGAAATACTGAGCTGCAATTTGACTCTGGGTTGGATTGATCTTTTCCTCTTGCAGCAGCCCAGCACACAACAGAGGACCTGTTCTTTAAGCACCATATTTACAAGGCCCACAGATCTATTCTCATGTTCCATCCACACTTACAAGGACAAATTACCTTTTTTTTCCTTCCCTTTGAAGAGATTTGGCAAGCTCCATGCTCTTTTTAAATCAAAGCAACAAGCTGCTGCATTATTCTAAAAAGCTCTCCCTAAAACCTATGGACCTCCAATATACAGGTGGGAAAATATAGCCCATAGCTCAATTTGCTAGAGACCTTAGAAGAAATCTGATGCAATCTTGATAGGAATCAATAATCTAGAGATCAATACTTTTTTGTGTGCCTGTCTCTTAAAAAGCTGAGCTAGGAATTTACTAATGAGAAGTCAAGTTATTGGCTGGGCAAATATGTTCTTGGAGGATTAAAATAGTTTGCAATTCCTGCCAGGCCTATAATGGCTGACAGCATAACTTAGTATAATATATTTCTAGGACAAGAATAATTTGTACAAATACACTTAAAATGTTCAGATGAAATCATCTGCCTTGCCTTAGAGTGCCATCAGAAATCACGCCTCAGGCCAAGCCTCTGGTTTCTCATTGGCGAGGACAGATGCTGCTCCTGTGCCACTGTGGCCATCCTGGCTTGGAGGGGTACAAGAACCATGTGCCCTTCACATGGCTCGTGAGGAGAAGAGAAGAGTGGAAGACCATATGTCTGTGCTGTGTTTTCTACTCTGGACATCTGCAGTGAAACATCAAGCCTGAAAACTTACTGTGTTGTCTTGGGTGTATTGCTGACTTGGCTAATGTTTCTTAATTTGTATGAATACTTCTCCAGTGACTGGTGTTTCTGGGTGTACCCACAGAAGTGCTAAACTGGGCAAGTAATGGGAATTCCTAACAATTCAAATCAACAAAAGGCTTGCCAGAGACAGAAAAAATACCTCTTTCCAACCCAATCAAAATTAGAAGACCAAAAACTTGATATTATAAAGCCATACTCAAATTCCTTGGCTATGCTTTAATGCCTCAGGCATCCTGGGCTGGGTCTGACCCTGGTTCCTCTCTCCAGACCTGATCCCCAACCCCACTTGGGGGCAGATGTCCTGTCCTTGCCTCGGTTGTCCTTGTCCCCAGGGAGGTGCCCAGTGCTCAGGCTGTCCCTGGTGTCCCCCCACCTGCCCTGCTCCTGGCTGTGGCAGTGGGACGGGCCCTCCCAGCCCTTTGTAGCAGAGGTCACCGGCTGACACCAGTCCTGTCAGATTTGCACTTGTTGATAGCGGTGACATAAATAACAACTCACTAAAATGCAGGAGTGATTTACTTTAAGCACTTTAGCACCTGCTGTTGCTCATTAAGGGATTATCATGCCCCAGATTGTTCCTGGCAGTCCAGGGTTTACAGTTTTAGCACATGGCACATGTGTACGAGTTACCTTACAGTGGTGGGCTCGTGCACTTACTCTTGTCCTCCCCCTGCCCCCCTCTGCTGGCCTTCACGTTAAGATCTCACATGTAACTTGAAGCCACACATTTTGCAGGTGGGACGCTTAGGAGAAAATGCAACAATTCAACATGCATGCTTTTAATGTTAGATATGAGCATTTGACAGTATCTCATGATTCAAAATAGTAGAGCATTCTCCATTGTTGGCTTGTTTTATCACTATGTGGACATCGTGGCATTTTCTGAAAAGGCGAAGAAGAATACAGAGGCAGAAGAGTTGTGAACTTGTTCTAAAACCTCCTCAGAGATCTGGCATTTCACACTGTCCCATTGGGCTGGCATTTGGTGGGGGGAGTTGTAGCAGTTTTCATGGTGGATATTCCAAAAACCTTGGCAAAAATACTTGTCTCATTTCTCCTAGTAGTCTCCCCTGCTTACTTAAATGCTTATTCTTCTCTGGTATCTGCAGCACATACTTTCTCACTATAGCATTTCACTGTAATGCAAACTTACTTCTTCATCACATTTTATTAAAGTTGGTCACCAGGAAACCTGAGCCATAGTAGAGTTCAATTATTATTTTCTGTCCCGGTTATTTCCCAGCACCATCTGTTT